TTCCAAAGTCTCAATTTTCCTTAGCATTTGGTTTTAAATTGAGATTTTAAAAAATGGGAGTGTGTTTATGTCTATCATAGATAATCAATGACCTTATAAATTAAACAGCACTTAACTTACAGTTTCTAAAACTTCTTTACTGTAGTACTGAAACTGACTTAAAAAATTCTAGAAGTTTTGCTTTTAGGTTTTTGTCATAGGGTGCACGTGCTCACTGGAGAGAGACAGAGAGAAGGAAAGAGAAATCACTGCCCAGGGGATGGCCATGCCACGATCCCTTCTCCACTATTCTTTCAGGATTTTGGGCACTCATGCACAGGCACCCAGCTTGATTTTCAAGCTGTCAGGTCTAAGACTCAAACTATATCCACCATGTGGGGCTCTAGTGCTTCGGCCACCACGCAACCTGTGTCCCCATAAGTAAGTATATTTTTAAAAATCCAGAAGCCAATATTTGCTGTCTGGCTAGTGCATAAACAACACTCTGTTTCACCGAAGGTCACATAAAAAGGTCATGGGTCTGCATGCTGGGGTCTCCCCATACGTGGTGGGTGCATGCATGCGTCCCTGTAATCCTGGCAGGCTGAGGCTGAAGGTGGATCGTGGTGTGAGGATTCTGTTGGGGGAGGGAGTACCAGTCTCTCTCTTTCTCTTCTTCTGTCTCTAATATAGAAAATAATCTATTTTTTTTTTTAAAAAAAAGCAACATTTTGAATTTGAATTTGGTTAGATGGAAATATAGGGGACTTCAAAAAGCTAATGGAAAATGGAATTAAAGAATAAGTTTATTTTGGTGCCTAGATTTTAAAAATCTGTGCACAGTTCACACATAACATACATTTCCACAAACTTTTTGAAGGGCCTACTTTATCCTGTTGAAGCATTTTTAAGAACTATTAACATATGAGCTATGTTGTTAACATTTAAATCATGTTAATATCTACTGGTTCCTGACAGTGACCTGCAGTGGTTGGATAATCCATTGGGGGATGTGTTTAAATCATATTGAGTAGTGTTTATCATGGTTTATGATAATATAACTAACATCAGGTGGCACGGTGGGTGAGGTGCTGGACTTTCCACATGGCTGACCATGGTTTGAGTCTCAGACCTACGAGGCCTGGCTTTCTCACTTTCTCTCCCTTTCTGTCATTCTCTGGTGAGCACATGTGAAAAAGTAACAGTAATAAATAAAATAAATAATTCTTTAAAAATATATATATACTAATAGAGCGAATGCTAGCCAAGTATCTTTTTGTTATTATGTTTAGGGTTGAAGTGGCAGGGATGTTTCTACAGCTTTCAGATATATGCAGAGTAAAAGCAGTAAGCCAGGCCTGAGTCCATGTTGCTTTGCTTCTTTGATAGACTGACTGTTCATCTTTGTGAAAGAATATAGATTTCATAAATAGCTAGGACAGGTTTGAATAAGCAAGAACGGGAAGGACTGATCTTATTAGCAATGAGATATATTATGAATCCATGGTCACTGAAGTGTGATTCTAGGGGCAGAACAGGCTCGTACACCAAGGGAACAGAACAGAGTGCAGAGGCAGACCGAACACTCCACACTAACTAGTGCATTACAGCGCAAATCCTGGGGAGAGGATTTTGTAAATAGCATTGGGATAATTGGCTTCAGCTATTTGGAGAAAAATAAAATTGGATCCTTACTGCACATACATTGAAGACTTAGATGCCAAAGGTAAAATCATATGACCAAAGGAAAACATTTCATAAATAAGGCTTTAAAAGTGCTAACCATAGGGGAAATGGAGATAGATTGGACTATATCAAAACTGAAAATTTCTGTTCAATCAAGGACACTGTATAGATGCACAATATTGACACCATATTATTGGCAATCTACTGAAAGAAAATATTTACAATATCCAAAACTGATGTGGTGAGTAACTAGAATAAAATAGTGAATGTCTAAAGATAAATAAGAAAAAGGCACCACGCCCAACAGAAGACATGAAACTAACTGATGTTAAGTGTGCAGTTTGCAGAAGGGGAAGCTGCAGTAGCAAACCAACATGAGGAGATGCACACCTCACTGTGCACATCAGGCATGCGTATACCCATGGGCTGGCTGAGGCTGCAGGAGAGGGAGGATTCTGGTGTGGGGACCCTGTTGGGGATGCCTATGACTGCCTCACTCTCCCTTTCTTGGAAGAAATAAACTTTTAAGAAAATAATAAATACACAGCTGAGTACTTAAAAGAAGTCCCTAGGGGTAGAGGGGGAAAAATGAGGTAACTCAAAAACTTCAAAATTGTAACTACAATTGCCCTGGAAGCATTTGCAAGTCTTGGCAATTTAGAAAACTTAAACAGATGCTGGAGAGGAGACAGAAAGTTCTTGGGACCTTAAACTGTAGGAAGTTAGAGCTGAGATCTTCTCATCCTACTGCCAAATACAGTTGCAATCCTCAAAGGAGGACATGTTGAGTAAAAATATGGAAGAAAAATCTGCTATCCAGGAAAGGAGATAACTTTGTTTTTTTTAAAGAGAGATTTTTGTTATAGGGCATATGTGCTCGCTAGAGACAGAAAATGAGAAATCACCTCCCTGTGGGTAGGAGGGTGGCCACACCATAATTCCTTCTCCTCTATTCTCCTCTTGGGATTTTTGGCACACATGCACATATGCCCAGCATAAGTTTAAAGTCACTGGGTCCGGGACTCGAACCTCTGTTGGACTATGTGAGAGTCCAGTGATGTAACCATTATGCCATCTGCTGGTCCCCGAAGTTCTCTCTCTCTCTCTTTTTTTTTTTTTTGGTGAGGTTTTTGCTATAGGGCGTGTGCACTCGCCAGACAGACAGAGAGAGACAGAGAGACAGAAAGCGAGAAATCACCCCCCAGGGGGGATGGCCACGCCACAATCCCTTCTCCTCCATTCTCCTCTCAGGATCTTGGGCACGCACGCACACATGGCCGGTGTGAGTTTTAAGCCACTGGGTCCGCGACGTGAACTGCGGTCGACTACGTGGGGGTCCAGCGACATAGCCATTACGCTAACTGCTGGTCCCCCGAAGTTATCTCTCTTGATGTGGGCGGGGGGGGGGCGTAGAATGGTAATTGAGATTCTTCCCTAGAACTGAAAAATCACACACACTCTCACATGTATTAGGGGTTCAAAATTGTACCACCTACGTGGTCTGGGTAATACCTGGATAAAAATTTAAATGACGCTGTATGTAATTTGTTGGTGGACAAGGCCATCTTGGTAGAAACAAAGCAAATTCTCTTTGGAGAGACACGTCCTTTACACTGGCATCCTAAGTGCTAGAAATGAGCTTGTAATCCAAAATGATGACCCAGAAGAGATAATGCCACTCTAAATGAGTTAGTAGAAAACAACAAACTATAGAACTGTAAGATTCCCAAGAGCATTAGGAACTGGAATAAGTACTTATGTAATACTAAATAATAATGTCTAACATGTTTAAAGAAATAAAATGTAGAAAGAAAACAAAGGCAGAGATTAGACAAGAACAAGATAATGCTTTTAGTAATAAAAACAATAAGTGAATATTTCAATGATTTTGTAAAAGCAGACTCAATACAACTAAAGAAAGAACTAGAGAACTGGGAGGTAATCTAGCGCCACCCAGAGACATGAGTTAAGAGACAGAACAGAGCTCTTTCCAGCCGATGCCGAGGGATGGGTATCTCTCGGGACAACTGGCACAAGTGCCGCAAGACCGGGGGCAAGAGAAAGCCCTACCATAAGAAGCAGAAGTATGAGCTAGGAGGCCCCACTGCATACACACAGTCCGTGTGCAGAGAGATAACAAGAAATACCGCGCCCTGAGGCTGGACGTCGGGAACTTTTCTTGGGGCTTAGAGTGTTGTACATGCAAAACAAGGATCATCGATGTTGTCTACAACGCATCCAATAATGAGCTAGTGCGCACCAAGACCCTGGTGAAGAACTACATCGCGCTCATTGACAGCACACCATACAGACAGTGGTATGAGTCCCACTACACACTGCCCCTGGGCCTCAAGAAAAAGGGGGCCAAGCTGAGTCCTGAAGAGGAAGAGATTTTAAATAAAAAGCGATCAAAGAAAATTCAGAAGAAATACGATGAAAGAAAAAAAATGCCAAAATCAGCAGTCTCCTGGAGGTTCAGTTCCAGCAGGGCAAGCTGCTTGCCTGCATTGCATCCAGACCAGGCCAGTGCAGCCCTGCCGATGGATGGCTACGTGTTAGAGGGCAAGGAGCTGGAGTTCTACCTGAGGAAAATCAAAGCCCGGAAAGGCAAATAAACCTTCCTATCTTCGCTCTGTAATAAAGGTGTTTATTGTTCACGTCAAAAAAAAAAAAAAAAAATTAAAAGAACAGAGTGAGTGTACTGTGACCTGTCTAAATGTCGAGAATCAAGAGATTGGTAAGGAAAACATATTCCAAGGGCATGCCTGAAAATCTCCTAGAAGCCATGAAATGAAAAGCATGAGTGCTTCTGGGAATCAAGCACAGCCTGGGTAATGTGAATAAAATGAAATCTACCCCTGGACACCACATAGTGGTGGAGCCCCACGGCACTAAGGTCAAGAAATTTTTATTTCTTCCAAAAGGAAGAGAGAGCAACAGTTCAGCCCGATGCAGAATTCTCAGCCAGAAAAACCAGGAGGCGGCAACCCAGTGTCTACAAAGCGTGGCACAACAGAACTGTCCACCGCGCATGCGGCCCGAGCCCAACCACCGTCTAGGAGCAGGCCACGAAATCAACACGGGAACTGTTTCCCCTTCACAGATTCTTACTAAAGGGTGCACGTGAGGGCCGAATCTGGCAGGTTAAAGGCTACGGCGAACCCTGCCCACTTCCACCCACCTGAAGCCCACCGCGGCGGCGTCGGTGCGCGGGCGCAGGAGCGGCGCGAGTCCTTTAAACCACAGTCGCGTGAGGCCGAGCAGCCGCGGCTGGTGCGCAGGCGCGTGTGCGTGCGTGGTCCGTTCTAGAACGCCACCGCAGACCGGCCGGCGCCATGTTGGGGCCCGGGGGAAAGAGGAGAAGCGCTTGAGGCGCCGGGCGAGGAGCGGGAGCGGGGTCTGCTCGGGGCTGGAAGGAACCCCGCCCCTCCCGCCTGAGCGGATCATGACCTGGGCGGCGGCGGCGGCGGCGGAGGTCGCGGTGGGGGGAAGAGTGCCCCGGCGGGGCCGGTGCTAGAGATGATGCCGTTTCCAGTTTCCACCCAGGGATCACAACAGACAGGGTCGCCTCAGAAGCACTATGGCATCTCGTCCCCTATCAGTCTAGCAGCCCCTAAGGACACTGACTGCGAGCTTACCCAGAAATTAATCGAAACCCTGAAGCCTTTTGGGGTGTTTGAAGAGGAAGAGGAACTGCAGAGCAGGATTTTAATTTTGGAAAAATTAAATAATCTGGTAAAGGAATGGATACGAGAAATCAGTGAAAGCAAGAGTCTTCCACAAGCTATAATTGAAAATGTTGGAGGAAAAATTTTTACGTTTGGCTCTTACAGATTAGGAGTACATACAAAAGGTGCGGATATTGATGCCTTGTGCGTTGCACCAAGACATGTTGATCGAAGCGATTTTTTTACCTCGTTCTATGATAAATTGAAGCTGCAGGAAGAAGTAAAAGATTTAAGGGCTGTTGAGGAGGCATTTGTACCAGTTATCAAACTTTGTTTTGATGGGATAGAGATTGATATTTTATTTGCAAGATTAGCACTGCAGACTATTCCAGAAGATTTGGACCTAAGAGATGACAGTCTGCTTAAAAATCTAGATATTAGATGCATAAGAAGCCTAAATGGTTGCCGGGTAACTGATGAAATTTTACATCTAGTACCAAACATTGACAACTTCAGGTTAACTCTGAGAGCCATCAAATTGTGGGCCAAATGCCACAATATCTATTCTAATATATTAGGTTTCCTTGGAGGTGTTTCCTGGGCTATGCTTGTAGCAAGAACTTGTCAGCTTTACCCAAATGCAATAGCATCAACTCTTGTACGCAAATTTTTCTTGGTGTTTTCTGAATGGGAATGGCCAAATCCAGTGTTACTGAAAGAGCCTGAAGAACGGAATCTTAATTTGCCTGTATGGGACCCGAGAGTAAATCCCAGTGATAGATACCATCTTATGCCTATAATTACACCAGCATACCCACAACAGAACTCCACATACAATGTGTCTGTTTCAACCAGGATGGTCATGATCGAGGAGTTTAAACAAGGGCTTGCTATCACACATGAAATTTTGCTAAATAAGGCAGAGTGGTCCAAACTTTTTGAAGCTCCAAGCTTCTTTCAAAAATACAAGCATTACATTGTACTTTTGGCAAGTGCACCAACAGAAAAACAACATCTAGAATGGGTGGGCTTGGTCGAATCAAAGATCCGAATCCTGGTTGGGAGCTTGGAAAAGAATGAATTTATTACACTGGCGCACGTGAATCCACAATCATTTCCAGCACCCAGAGAAAATCCTGACAAGGAAGAATTTCGTACAATGTGGGTGATTGGGTTAGTGTTAAAAAAGCCAGAAAACGCTGAAACTCTCAGTATTGACCTCACCTATGATATCCAGTCTTTCACAGATACAGTTTATAGGCAAGCAATAAATAGTAAGATGTTTGAAATGGATATGAAAATTGCTGCAATGCATTTAAAAAGAAAGGAACTTCATCAGCTACTACCTAATCATGTGATTCAGAAAAAGAAAACACATTCAACAGAAGGTGTAAGATTGACAGCTTTGACTGACAGCAGCCTTGACTTGTCTGTAGACAATGAAAACACTATGTCTGTGCTTTCACCTACGAGTGTTATGAAGACTGGCCCATTGACTGGCAGCTCTCAGGGCAGAAATAGCCCTGCCCTGACTGTAATGGCAGCATCTGTGACCAGCATACAGGCTACTGAAGTTTCCTTGCAACAGATGAATCCCAATGAAAGCTCAGGGATTGCATTGATTGAAAGCATTCCTCAGGTTGCATCACAGACTGCCATTCCTCCACCACCAACGCCCATGGTTGCCAGAGTTGTTTCTTCAACGTGTCTGGTAAACCATCCACCCAGAGCTTCAGGAAATGCAACCACAAATATACCTAATCCTATAGTAGGAGTCTAGAGGACACATTGACCTCATGAGGAAAGAACCAAGGAAACGAAAGCAGAAGAGGAACGACTTCCTAAAGAGTCAAGTACAGCTCATTTAAAAACTACTCAGACAGCAGCTTCTCAGTTTCTCAGGAAACATCCAGTACAGATCTTTCCAATATCCCTGTTCTCCCTGCAAATCCTATTTCTGTTATCAAGAATTCAATAAAACAGATTGAATGGATATAAACAACCTCAAGGGTCCAAAAACAATACCTGTCAATTCAACCTGTTGTCCTCAAATACTAAAGGAGAATGAAGGGTACTAGACTAGATAAGACTCAAAATACGTTTAGACTTATTTGGTAACTTCTTTTACTGGGCTAATCTTGATCACAAGTCTGGATTAGTATATAAAGATAGAAGTACTATTATTAATGTGTCAGATTATTAATGTGTCAGCAACAGTTAACTATTTCAAAGGACTACTTCCCTTAAAAAGAAAAAAGAAAAAAACCTCCAGCTACATTTGTACCCATGACTGACATTTGGACTGGATTTATGTTTGATGCATTTGGGAAAATTTACAATAGAAAGTGGTGTCAGAATTTCTCATGATGTGCTTTTGTATATTTTTATTAGAAAGTAGAACTAATTTTAGATTCTTCAACTTGATAAATTTTAGTTTTTTTCTGAAGAAACTTCTTCACTATTAATCTTAAGATTGGATACCATTGTGCAGTGGTATACTATGCCTCAGAGAAAGCATAAAAGTACATCTACCTTATTCCCTGTAAGATAGCTGTAACCTTTTAAAATGAAATGAATTGTTTTAGAGCATATATAATCAGCGATCAAACATTTCTTTTGAGCTATCAAAGCTCCATATTCTCCTGTCTTCAATCATTTGTCCTAAGAAAGAAAAGCTTTTTTTCCCCTCGCCCTTCTCCTTTTGCTTATGTGAAGAAGGTATGCTTGCATATTATTTCATTGAAAAAACCAGAATGGAAATAGTTTCTAAACCAACAATCCTGTGGCCATATGGCACAAAACACCAAATTTTGGTTCCATGGCTGATATTTTAATAAAACTTTACTATATGTAATACCTCTAAAACATCATGTTACCGATTTTGGATGGCCATTTTATCTATACATATGAAATGTTTTGTATATTGCACACAATACTTGCTTATAGGAAAGTTAATTTCTAATTTTAAGGAGATAGAAAAAAAGAATTTTCTCCTGGATTTTAAACCACTTTTCCCTCTTTAAACGACTTAACAAAGTCTACCAGTTAATTTTATGTGTAGAGACACAAATAATTTTGAGCAAGCATTTGACGTCTAGTCATCTCTTCAGCCTTTTTTTTTTTTTTGTGAGAGGTTTTTTGCTATAGGGCGCGTGCGCTCGCCAGACAGACAGAGAGAGACAGAGAGATAGAAAGCAGGAAATCACCCCCTAGGGGGGATGGCCACGCCGCAATCCCTTCTCCTCCATTCTCCTCTCGGGATCTTGGGCACGTACGCACACGCGCCCGGCGTGAGTTTAAGCCACCGGGTCCGGGACTCGAACCGCGGTCGACTACGTGGGAGTCCAGCGACATAGCCATTATGCTAACTGCTGGTCCCTTCAGCCTTTTGTTTTGATCTTACAAAAGATTAGGATTACTTTTCTATAACAAAAAAGGAGGTCTCATAATTCAAGAGCAGAATGTGCATGTTTAGGAAGCATGAGGGATGAAAAATGTACATGAATGAAAACTCATTTTTTTGGGGGGGAGCGAGATTTATTTATTTATTTATTTATTTATTTATTCATTTATTTATTTATTTTTGCTATAGGATGTGTGCGCTCACCAGAAAGTCAGAGAGACAGAAAGCGAGAAATCACCCCAGGGGAGATGGCCACCCCACAATCCCTTCTACAATTCTCTTCCTGGGATCTTGGGTATGCACACACACGTTCCCTGGGATCTGGTATGCACACACACGTTCCTGGTGTGAGTTTAAGCTGTTGGGCCTGGGACTCGAACTGTGGTTGACTATGTGGGAGTCCAGTGACGTAACCATTATGCCATCTGCTAACTCCTGAAAACTCATTTTTAATCTAGACACAGAAAACTCAGGTCTTCTAGTTACTCCCTGAGTCCTTTACTGCCTCTATTGTGTTCCTTTCTACTCACATGTATTTTTCATGTTAAACTGAAATTTCTTAAACTCTTATTCTCCTAGATTAGATCTTAAAAGTTAGAATATAGTCTTTTTCCTTTTAAGTTATACAGTAATTAAGAATTTCTTCTTGGGGCTGGCAAGTGGTGTGGTGGTTAGGGGGCTGGACTCCCACCTGGATGACCGTGGTTTGAGTCCTGGACCTAGCGGCATGCTTTCTCACTTTCCTGCTTTCTGTCTCTCTCTGGTCAAATTTAATAATAATAAATAAATAAGTAAAATTGAACAAGTAATCCTTAAAAAAAAAAAATAAAGACTTTCTTCTCACCATTAGTTTCTGATGTTCAGTACACAATATTCCTGTTTCTCTTATCTTTGCCTTGTGCAATCATGTTACTATTCTACCACAATAATATTGGGTTATTGGGAAAGTCATAATGCATTTTTTCATGTGTTATGACTTTCCCAATAACCCAATAAATCAGGAAAAGTGTACATGATACCTGACTGTTTTGAATAGCTAGGATGTTAGGTTGAAATTGCCAGGCACAAATTTAGTCTTGTCATTTTGTCTACATATTGAGGAAAAATTGTTTTTAATAAATGTTTTATGTAACTGTACTTGTTTTACCAAGATGGAAACATGAGACTTTTTCATTTTAGTTTTCATTACCTGAATATCAGACTAATTTTTTTACATAATGTATGTAATGTTTAATGACTAGAATTTTCTTTGTTTTGTTCTCCTTATATTTTTAAGCACGATTTTAAAAGCAGATGATATATTTCTCCATTAAAACCACATTAACAGGGCAAACAAGCAAGCAAAGTGAAACTAAAATACTACACAATAATAATATTTGAATCTGACAAGAGTTCACATGTTCTTACATAGTTCTGAAGGAGGATAAAGAGACTGATTAACTTTTCAACCTTACTAAATCTAGAATGTATGTTATAAGTTAGAGGAACCATGAAAAGTTTAATAAAGGAGCTGAAAAAATCTGAAAAATCTTAATGCAAAAGAATCTCGGCCCTATACCGTAGTGGTTAAGGGAGCTGAATCCCACATGGCTGACTACAGTTTGAATCCTGGCCCCAGCAGCTTGAAAAACATGTTGGGCATGTGTGCCTATGTGCTCAAAATCCTGACAGGAAGGAAAAATAGAGGAAAGGGATTACAGCATGACTCACCCTATGGGGGAGGGGAGGTGCTTCCTCCTTCTCTGTCTCTGGTGAAGGGGATATGCCCTTTGGAAATTAAAACAAAACAAAACAAAAACAAAGCAACAAAGAAAAAGAAGAAATGTATAGAAAATATATGATAAAAAGAAAATACAATCTCAAGTGGAAACGAGACCAAATGTGAGAGAACTTCAAAAAGTTTGTGGGAAAATGGAATTCAAGTTAGCGGTTTATTTTGGTGTAAAAACCTTTTGAAGTTCATGCATAGTTTTTTTTTTTTTTCATAATATGCATTCTCCTTGAGCTTTTTGAAGACCTCTCATATATCTGTCACTACAATAAATGGACCAAACTTCCTTACTAAAAGACAAAGTTTGTCACATTCAATGGGAAACTGTCCAGCTGAGTGCTGTTTTATTCATGAGAGACACCTCCAAAATATAAGGACATGAAAGGATAGAAAAAGATGTGCTAGTAAAGAAAAACTAGTAACAATGTCATTCAAACAAATTTCAAAGCAAAAATAATTAGTAGGATGAAAAGACCCCACTGCATTAACAGTAGAAGTAATAATGCCATGAGGAAAATGGAATGATTTAAAACTGTTAGCACCTAATAAAATTAGCCTGAACATGAAATAATGAAGCAAAGGTTAGCATAAATTGCCAATTGTGTCATTATTACAGAAAGACTTAAAACAGCTCTTTCATTAATTGATAACAAGGAGATACAAAATAGAAGGAAAACAGTTTATGAGCACAATCTAGTGTAGTTGTTGGTCAACATTTTATGTAAAGCCCGGATAGTACATATTTTCAGTTTTGTGAAGCCAGAGGATCTCTGTCACAGCTACCTAACTCTTCTTTTGTTGGGGAAAATCAGCCATAGACACTATATAAACAGATGTTCAGGGCTAGACTTGTCACCTATTCCCCCAGCTGTCATTTGCCATGATCTAGCCAACACTTCACCAAAATAATTCACCAAATAATTGGGAACATGCATATTATTTTCAAGTAAGTGTTGGATATATTTAGAAATTAACCTCATGCTAGCTCAGAAAGTAATAGTGAACATATTTCCAAGTGTCTGATTTATAGACCTTGTTCTCTGATTATAGTACAATAAATTAGAAATCAATAATAGCATGGAAAATAATTTCCTAAAGACACAAAAAGCTCAAGCCATAAAGGAAGAGATTAATAGAAAAAAAGGAGATTCTGTTCATCAAGCAATGAACTGGGAAAAGTGAAAAACAACCAAAAGCTGGGAGAAGATTTTGTAATACATAAAACTGACAAATGATACTACCCAGAATATTTCAAGGCAGCCCTCCTCCCCAAAAAATCTATTTTAAAAGATCAACTCAATAAAAAAGGGGGGGCAAAAGAATTGCATAGACATTTCACAGAAGAAGAGCTAGAAATGGCCAATGAACATGAAAAGGTGCACAATCTTGTCAATAAGTGTGGAGAGTAGTCAATTGGGATGTAAAAGGAGTCGGGAAGAAGGAAGTGGACTGCAAAGAGAATAAGGGAGGAGAAATTGGAATGCAAAAGCCAGTTGGTTTTGGATGTAAATCGTCTGAAGATGTAAAGATGACTGGCGCCATATAATTTCTCTGATCTTTTTGGGGGACAATTTGATAAACACATGTGACTTCCTTTAGCCCCTTACTGGGCAGTATGGGGGTATT